TGCCCAGTATTCAACGCCAAGAATCCATACAAAATGACATCATCATAGTCGTCATCGCTCATCAAAGTGACGTTCAGCGTTGAACACGACATCTGCATCTGCCTGAATGAGCAACTCGTTCAGTCTTCTTATTCATTAGTAAGTACCTTACTTTTTACTCTGAACCCCCCCTCGACTACGAGGCAAGTGAACCCGCGGGTTCGCACCGCCGGGTCGCGTCTGTGCATCGTGCACGACGGTTCCACCTCTAGTAATAATGACAAGGGTAAAGAAAAACGTTCCACGCCGTGGTTCCGACCCAAATCTTCATCCTCCTCAAAAGGTTACAATCAAAAGGCCAACTTCATCGGCTTCTTCACTTCAATCGTCAACCAAAAAACAAAAACAAAAAGATATGAATCTCTTTCTTCTGATTCCGAATCAATGTCGTCCATTTCAGAACTAACCTCAACTGACCAAATATCAGGTCTACCAGGATCTCTGCCAACTAGCATCCGTTCTTCTTCTCCGGGAAAATCAATCTCCAACCGCTCAACGCCTACTCCCACTCAAGACCTTCCACCTGTCGAACAAAAGATCAAACCTCCTCCACCACTAATCACTTCTACCTCAGCATGGAGGAAAGCAGCGTCCAAACTTATGAAAGCAGTTCCTATTGACTCGATAACAGTCAAAGCTTTCCGGAATGACTCGGTCAAAATCCAATGCACTGACTCTGATATGTTCAGAATTGTCCAAAAATATTTCAAGAACACTGAAACCGAATTTTTCACGTTTCCAAGTCCCGAAGAAAAAACACTCAAAGTCGTAATCAGGGGCTTGCCTACTGATATCTCCGACATCGAACTCTCCGAAGAACTAGTATCCAAAGGATACGAAATCTCTGCAGTCCGCCAATTCGTTAAAGCCGGCAAAAAATTGCCCCTTCATATGGTCTCCTTACCAAACAACCCTGCCAGCAAGTCAATATTTAGGGAATCTTCATTCTTTTATATCTCGGTAAAGGTAGAAGCCTACAAAGCGACAAACCCAGCCCAGTGCTTTAATTGCCAACGTTTTGGTCATTCCAGCATCTACTGTGGGTTTACCCCAAGATGCGTGAAATGTGCTGGATCCCACCTGGCTAAAGACTGCCCCAAGACCCTAGAACAGACTCCCAAATGCATTAATTGTGAAGGCCCTCACACAGCCAACTACAAACAATGTCCAGAATTCTTAAAGACTAAAGCCGCTAAGCAAGCATCCCTACCCATGTTCAATCAACAACGCGTTCAAACAACTCTTTATCAACCTCCAGCAACCATCACTCCTCCATCTAATGAAGATGCTATAATCCGCCCTCAGTCATACGCAACTGTAGTTGGCCCTAAGCCTTCAAAATTATCAAGCCAGCCTGTCAATCCAGAAGCTATCCAATTGCTCACTAATCTGCTGTCAGAGCTCACAGCCGGCTCCGCCAACATCAGAAACGTTCTCATCTCTACTCTAAATGCTCTTATCCCCCTTCTCCTATCTCACAATGGCTGACACCAGAATCTTGTTTTGGAACTGTCAAGGCGTAGCTCGGAAACGCCTTGAACTTCTCGACCTAGTCCAGAGGAAAAAGGTTGACATTATTCTTTTAAATCTCTTTATGATAAATGTGAACAAGTCTTTGTTCGGTTCACTCTTCCTAGTGGTCTCTCCGTTTTTTTAGTTGGAGTTTACTTACCTCCAGGGTTAAACCCCTCGGTTTACGAAGGTCACCTTGAGTCTGTTGACCAGGCCTGGGGAACTAATGCCTTTAATCTTGGTCTGGTTTGTGGTGACTATAATTTGCCCAACGTATCCTGGACCAGTGGGGATTCTGGTTTTATCTACACTGGTAGGATTAATGATAAGGTTCGAACTGTTGGGGATCATTTTAGTTTGCTTCACTTTACTCAAAAGAACCAAATTTATAATAACACCGGTTCCGTTCTTGATTTAATCTTCACCAACAACGCATCCACCCAAGTATCTCTGGCTGCCGATCCCTTGGTTCCATGTGACTTGTACCACCCGGCCCTCACTATCTCCTGTCCCTCTCCATCTGATCTCCCTATGCTCAACACCCAGCACATGTTCTACGACTTTAAAGCTGCTAATTATGAGATGATATCTCATTACTTAGAAGACATAGATTGGTCCGATACCCTTAATTCTAAATCGACTAACGAATCAGCAGATTTACTACAGAAAATTCTTCAAGACTGTATCCGGGAGTGGGTTCCAGTACGTAGCTTTCGCAATTCTACCTTCCCAAAATGGGTCTCCGGCAGCCTAATTAATCTTATTTCAATGAAAAAAGAATCCCACAAATTATACAAATTACTAGGGGGTTATGATCGTTACATGACCTTCTCCAGACTACGCGCACGATGTAAATATGAATCCAAGCGCCTTTACAGAAACTATTTGGATAGCTTACAAGAGCGCTTTTGTACTAAACCTAAATCATTTTGGGAATTCGTTCGGAGTAAACGTGGAGCCAACTCGATACCTGATGAGGTTCATCTTGGCCAAACTAAAGCCACTGGCGAACATGTTTCTTCCTTGTTTGCCTCACACTTCTCCTCGGTATATAAAGACTCACATTTTACGGCAAACACTTTATCCGATGAGTGTACTAATCAAGAATTTTCTTTTCTCCCATCAATTTTATCGATTACTACTGAAGAGGTCAATGAAGCCCTAAACTCCCTATCAAATACCCGTGGTCCTGGGCCAGATGGTATTTCTGCCCTTCTACTGTACCGATGTCGGGCCACTCTCGTTTTACCCGTAACTTTAATTTTTAACAAGTCTCTTGCCGAAGGTGTCTTCCCTCACGCCTGGAAAATTAGTCGTGTAACACCCATTTTAAAGTCTGGTAATCCGACCGATGTTGCCAACTACAGACCCATCTCCGGCTTACCTTTCCTCGGTAAGTTATTCGAATCAATTGTTCTTAAACAAATTAAACGTAAATTTTCATCGATCATATCAATCGACCAGCACGGGTTCGTTCCTGGTCGCTCAACTGTTACCAGCCATGTTGATTTTGTTTCCTTTTTACATAAGGCGTTTGAACTAGGTAATCAAGTTGATGTCATATACACCGATTTTTCCAAAGCATTCGACTCTATAGATCATAGAGCTTTGCTTTATGTTCTTGACAGGTTAGGCGTTGGTGAGCCATTCCTATCGTGGATTAGTTCCTATCTTAGCGAGCGGCACCAATTTGTAAGTCTCTTCGGTAAGTCATCCAATCTTTTTCGAGCGTCATCCGGAGTTCCACAAGGTAGCCACCTAGGACCTCTCTTATTTAATATTTTTATTAACACCGTGTGCTCAACAGTTTCTCCTTGTCGCCTTCTTCTGTTTGCCGATGATTCTAAGATTTTCCAAATGATATCCTCATACAATGACTGCCTCACTCTCCAAAACTCCCTTGATAAATTTGCCGCCTGGTGCAATACTTTTAATTTGTCGCTAAATATTGCCAAATGCAAAGTAATGACCTTTCATCGTTCTAGGTCAGTCATTACCTTTGACTATAACCTAAGCGGTCTATCTATTCAACGTGTTAACCAAGTCGAGGATTTGGGCATTCTGTTTGTGCCTTCACTCCACTTTGGTCCTCACATCGATATCATGACTAGTAAAGCTTTTCGCGTACTGGGTTTTATTAAGAGACATACTGTTAATTTTAGTTCCCCTAAATGCCTACTGGTTCTCTACAACTCGTTGGTTCGTTCAGTTCTCGAATATGGGTGCGTAGTCTGGTCACCATACACCGCTGCTGACATTCGACGGATTGATCGGGTGCAAAATTACTTTATGAACTTTGTTGGCTTCTGTCTCAATATCCCTCACCCAAAACACGATTACAGGCCTATTATACAAGCCCTTAAGCTCAACTATCTCCAAACTAGGCGTGATAACCTTGGTAATAACTTTATTCGAGGTTTAATTGAGGGTAGAGTCGATGCCCCTAGGCTTCTCGAACAACTTGATTTTCGAATACCCAATAATACTAGGTTACAGTGTTCTTTCTATCCCCCCAACAATACGTCTAACTTTGCGAGAAATGCCCCATTACCAAGATTAATGCGCTTAGCGAACTTACTGTAATACCCGTAGTACGGAGGCTCACATTTTCGTTAGCTTATTACTTCTATTACCATGTTATTTATTTCTTATTATCATTATGTTATCTATCTAGAACTTTATTTAATTTATTCATATGTAAAAAAAAAAAAAAAAAAAAAATGTTTATATATCTTGTATCTGTATCTTGTACACTCCATGTAAATTGTAAAAGCCGACTGGCGTTAATTCTAATAAAATAAAATAAATAAAATAAAATAAATGAAACTCACCTTGCTTCAAATAGCCAATTTAATCTCCCTAACTTCTTTTCTTACGCAACCAATAGACCACTAGTGAATGGCCACCCTCCAGCCGGAGGGACTGCTGTCCTAGTTAACAAGAAATTTATTCATCACCATGTCAAAATCATCACAACATCCATCAACAATACGGCAATCGTTATCCAAATCAATGACGCGGAACTTACTCTTGTCTCGGCTTACAAAAGCCCAGGCACTCAACTTGTAACATCAGACTTGGACATCATTCTAGACTCAGGTCAAAACGTTATAATCGCAGGCGATCTTAATGCAAAACATCTAGCGTGGAACAGTAGGTCCACAAATACTGCAGGTAGAACATTATTTAATTATCTAGACTCGAGGCTAGACACAACTGTTACAGCTCCTACCTCTCCAACTCGTTATCCAACAAACCCAAATCACAATCCAGACGTTCTTGACATCGCCATAATAAAGGCAGGTAGTCTTAGCTATCATTTGGAGAACCTTCCAAATGAACTGTCTTCTGACCATTCTCCTATTCTGCTAGACATCCATCATCGTTCTGCTCACATATCTCCGCCTAAACCTCGCTACATCACCGACTGGATTAAATACGAACTTGATATGCTCTCCAAGCCATTTTCTCTCCCTGAAATTCTCACAGAGGAACAGGTTGACTCAGCTATTCAGCATCTCTCCAATTTCATCTCCGACAACGTAAAAATCAACTCCACAATCCACAACCCATCTGACAGGAAAACTGACCTTCCACTATCGATCCAATTCCAAATTACCAAAAAACGCAGGCTAAGATCCATCTGGCAGAGGACCAGGAACCCGGATATAAAAACGCTACTTAACCGACAAAATCGTTTAGTCAGCGATCTCCTACAATCAAATCGCGACGAAGAGTGGTCCAATTTCCTGTCCTCAATCGATATTGGTCCCCAAGGGTGGTCCCGACTTTATAAGCTCAATAGACGACTTCTCAGGAAATCTACAGCTTCCCATCCACTTAAGGACGATCATGGTTTCCTCCACTATGATTCTCTCGAAAAAGCCAACATCTTCGCTTCAAGCATGGAAAATCAATTTTCTCCTCTGGCTAGTACTTCGTGGGTAGACGAAATAGTACAAGACACCCTGGAACAACACTTAAACTCGATATACGACAAAAACATCTTCTTTTCTCCAGGCGAAATCTGGAACAATCTTCGCAAACTCCCCAATAAAAGCGCCCCTGGGCCTGACCTTATATCTAACTGTGCTCTCAAACGTGGGGGGAAAAAACTTGCGATCTACTTGTGTAAAATATTCAACTCTTGCACTCGTCTAGAATATTTTCCCAACCAGTGGAAAATTGCTGATATAATTATGATTCCTAAGCCGAAAAAAGACCCAAAAATCCCAACCAACCACAGACCTATATCTCTCCTGAACACGATGGGTAAACTATACGAGAAACTCTTACTCTCCAGACTTAAAAGTCACATATTGCCTCAAATCAGACCTGAACAATTTGGCTTTCGCCCCCAGCACAGCACTGAAATTCAACTAGTCAACTTCATAGACAACATAACAAATAATATGAACAGAAGGCTAAAAACAGCAGTAACTCTCCTTGATATAGAAAAAGCTTTTGATAAGGTATGGCACGAGGGCCTTTTATTCAAACTCCTGGCTATGCAAGTACCTCAACAGCTGGTCTCCATCATTCAGTCATTTCTCAAAGAAAGGAAATTCTGCATAAAAATCGACGATACCAGATCTTCCCCCAAGACCATAAGAGCTGGAGTCCCTCAGGGGTCATGCCTCTCTCCGCACCTATTCTCCGTATACATCAACGATATGCCATTATCCTCCAAAGCCAAGTTAGCCCTCTTCGCTGACGACACATTATTTTACGCTGATAGCATATCCCAATCGTGTGCAATTAAAAACCTTCAAGCCCAGATTGATCTCTCGATCGAATGGTTCCATCAGTGGAAAATATCAATCAATCCACTCAAGACCTCAGCCATTATGTTCAGCAACAAGCAGACTAGAGCGGGAGATTGCGTAAAATTTGGCGACACTCCCATCAAATGGTCAAATAACATCAAGTACCTAGGGGTCACCATAGATAAAAAGCTATCTTTTAGCACTCACGTAAAAAACATCATCACCAAGGCTAAAGGAGCCAAACATTCCCTTTTTCCCCTTATTAATAAACGCAGTCCTCTTTCAACTATTTCAAAACTACATATATTCAAAACCTACATCAGACCTATCCTGACCTATGCGGGACCTGCATGGACGGCAAATATTTCCAATAGCAGCTGGTCAAAACTAGAGGCAGTTCAGTCTACTACCCTGCGTCAAATTACTGGACTGGACTGGTATGTCTCCAACGAAACCATCAGATCATCCTTAAAGACTCCACCACTAAAAGATCACTTATCAAAAAACAAAGTTTCACTTACTCAACGCACCAAAAACTCAAGCTTCAAGCACATCTCCGACATTCTCTCCAAAAACTCACCCAAGGAGCACTTCATTAAAAAACCACTTTCTTAATAATAGCTAATCTTTAAGCCTAAACTCACCACTCTCAATTCTGTACTTCCTCCTCTCTGTAAGAAGCTAAATGCTTGAAACAGAGTACTCTAACAAAGCAAAGCAAAGCAACAATCTAGTCAGTCCACTTCAATCCTTCAAACTATCAACATCTCCAAGAAACGTTCCGATAGCAAGAAGACCAGGACCAGAAATCGACCGCCGAAGACCGACGACAACGCCGCTCCACGGCTACCAGCGCCATTCGACCGCAGACCACCGCCGTTCCCGATTGCGTATATCATCATACCGACGCATATCGACAACGACGCCGCTCCACGGCTACCAGCGCCATTCAACCGCAGACCACCGCCGTTCCCGATTGCGTATATCATCATACCGACGCATACCGACAACGACGCCGCTCCACGGCTACCAGCGCCATTCGACCGCAGACCACCGCCGTTCCCGATTGCGTATATCATCATACCGACGCATATCGACAACGACGCCGCTCCACGGCTGTAAACGTCATTCAACTGCCGAACAATAACGACCCGTCGACCACCTATCTACGGGCGCAAAGATCGGTCGATCAACAACGCCATCATCGTCAGGACCAACCGACCACGTGACTGCCGCTCAACGGGGAGAGACCAGTGTCAGTGTACTCTTGCCGTGACGAGGCCGCCCGACCGCCACTCAACCACCCCAGCCTACGGGATCACCGGATAGGCCGACCACTCACGGCGTGACAACATTAAAAGGCCCTTTTCAGGGCCACCACGACCCCAACCTCGGCACTTAATTAAGTTATCCGACCCAAGTCTGGTTCGTCGTCGGGGTGCCGCTTGACTTAAGTCTGCACCGACGACGGCCGGCTTCCTAGCCGATCATATTGTATAACTTATATAAATCGTTATAAAAACACTTGTGAAGATAGGGTCCGACAATTGTCCGACCACAATACCCAAGCGCCTCCGATTGTGCCGACTCACTTATTTAAGTCCGGTCGGCACAAATCGACGCTTTACTTGTCCCAACATTGTAAATATAAATTATAATTTAACCAAGCAATAGAAAAACTTGATTATCGAGCACACAATTGTTATTTTATTTACGACACGGGTCGTCCAATCGGACGCACCGTTTCAACTATTTGCTGAAATATGTGTAGGTGCATTCATAATTGTAAACATCAATCATATTATGTGTTGCTAATGTATCTAAATGACTAAACAAAATTTTAATCATAATTCATATCGATAATATCATTATAAACAATATCAAGCATACCTACATTTTAAAATGTATATTATATTTTTTTTTTTTTACTCAAAATAGATTTTAATTTTCTTTAGCACTGAGTCATTATGATTTCTTGAAATTTAACTTCATATCACATTGCAATTTAGTTCTATTATAGTAGAGATTTCTTAGAACCACGTGCTATAAAAATACAATATATACGTAACGATATAGGTAGTATAATATTAGTTATTGTGCAATTATATACAATCGTTTTAGTTAATGAAATATTTTCATAGTAATCGATTTGAAATTATTCTCAATTATTATTCGGCGCAATACAGAAATCATAGGTTTAAACAGTATATCATTATTTTATATATCATGCGAATATTATAAGTTGAATAGTAATTCGCACGAACTATGTCAAACACAAAATAACATAATCGTCGTAATACCTACCTGCAATTTACATGTCATGATTCGACGTGAAAAAGTGTCGGTCCACGAATTATTACACATATTATGCCTATACCTAGTACTTAAATCTATATGTTCCAAGTGTGTGTGTGTGTGCGTCGTGTGATATAAATAATGATATGATAGAATAGAATATAATACATTATATTGTAAGTATACGTCTGATACACAATAATACTATTATATAAATTATGTTATATTATGTACATCAGACAGCTTTTATATTATTCTTTCGTTTGTTTTCGAACGATTTACCTTTTAGCCCGTACAAAGAAAACGCGCACATTCCTGCATTTTAAGTATATCTGTTGTTGCCATTTGTGTTGGTGCACCAAAGTGTACCGGATGCAATTACACGTATGGAAAAAAAAATACAAATAACAGGTCTTCTTCCCTATCTCAATAACATCTCATCATTCATTCTCGTCCGCCGTAATTCCGGCGCACGGCTTTGATATGGGACCACGCACAACATAAATCAGTGTACCTCAAATATATAGTATAATAGTGTTGTACGTGTGGAGATGATATTCGTCGTCGACGTTTATTATATATTTTTTTATGCGTCAGAATAATATAATATTATGCCGAAAACAAATAGCTGAAGGTTTGAATGGCGTTTTAGATCTTCTTGCCTGCGACAACTCACTATACTGCATCGTATGATATTAATACGATCCCCGTATTATTATACGATATAAGATAACTGTAAACCGTGAAACAATAAACCGAGGCACTGAGCAGCCAGCTGAATTAAAACCTTTTTTAAGATACGCACTCTGTCAGTCAGTGTAATTTTTAAAATTATGTAGGTACCTATGATAATACTCATATACTTGTATAGGACATCGCATCTGAATATCGAACCCATACAACATATACTCTGATAAATTCACTGTTCTCTTTTAAATGCGTTTGAGCCGCAGGCAGAATAATATGTTCTGTTTCTAAATACACTTGACTTCCTAATAACCTTATAAACATTACATCGGACCCCTCGTCACCGTAATCGACGTAATAACACACACGACTAATTCAGGATATCGGACACCGGATTCGCGTAGAATTAACTATATATGTCTGTACAGTAAACATACACTCCACGTCGGTATATACCTATAGTAAGAGTTAAAATTATTTATTTAATCCTATTTCCCTCTATATAGCGTAGGCACTTCCATCGTATTTAATACTTAATAGACCTAACTTAGAAACAGCCATTGTGTGTATCATTGTTTTTCCGTTAGGTCGTTGCACAAGTCATGGGGGTGGGAGTATAAAGCTCGCTGCTATATTATCATAAATGAGAATCTACATTTGATATTTGCGATCATTTACATAAAGCCGACAGCAGAGGTTAAGGTTGTGCGCCTATAAGTATACTGCAGTGGTCATCGTACCGTGACGGTGGATTTCAGTGGTAGGACAAATGTGTTGTGTATATTATGTTTTTTTTTCCGGAGGAGAAATTACGTTTGAATCAAAATAATAACAAAAAAAAAAGGTTATTTAATCAACAATTGGATTTCGTGACGGTGCCGTGACATTTTTTGGTGCGATTTCCGGCAATTCAAACGTTTTGTAAAAACCTACGTTGAAAATGTACCGGAAAATCCGTACAAAACAAATACGAAAGTAAATCGCAATATATATAACATTGCAATTCCTACTATACCTATTTGTTTATTATTTTGATTCCAACCAGAATATTATATATAATTATGTATTAATTTTTAAAAATAATATATACCAGATACCTATACAATATAAATGTTAAATAATACCTGAATACTAGATAATGTAATTATGCATATTATAATATCATATTATATTATTCTAGAATTTATACGTTTATATAGCGTAACGAGAATTGCTTCTGCAGTAAATGAATACTATATAATTACGTCTGTATATCAATATTTGTTTTCAAACAATTCACAGTATAGAAAAATGACGGTTATTTAGGTACATAGGTGGTTAGTGCTTACAAATAATCCAATTTTGTTCTGCACCACGACGAACGAACGTCTTAACCGACCGGATCTAATAACATGCGCACACCTTCTCGTCAATGGTGAATAGAGCAATAACTCTACTTCCGTTAATAAGGGTCTTCGAACAATAAGCTATTATGCATTTTCGTTAACAACATCAAACACGACTCAGATGTCTGCTCTGGCCGAGTGTATTTTATGTTTTATATTAATCTTAATAACCATGTATAAAATATATATATCCACAATCCACATAACCGCTACGCTCGTGTCATTCACCATATATACAACACATTCAACTTATTTTCTTTATAATAATTGTACCATTGACGGTGTGTAAACCCATGGTAACATTACTGAAGAAAAATGTTTGAAATCAATTACGCCGGAAACGCATGTATTATAATGTATTATAGTATGGCCTTGTATTGTTAAAAAATGAGTCGTATTAAATTTGAATAATCATTTTGTAATTTTCAAATACATTTTTCAGCAGAAATAATGTTACTAGATGATAATATTACGCGTATATACGAGGTGTGTTCAATAAATACCCAGACTAAAATTATTGTAGAAAAACATTTAATGATATCAGAAATGTTATTGAACCAAAATAAACTAGAGATAATGACCATTATTTCAGTATATAATAATAATCATTATCTCAAATCAGTCATCGACAATACGCGTTCGAAGTTGGTCGTTTTGTATAAAATCGCGATTTCACGATGGATAATATTTCAGAGCAACGCGCGTGTATTAAATTTTGTTTCAAAATTGGTAAAAATGCTACGGAAACTTTTGAATTGATAAAATTGGCTTTTGGAGATTTTGCACTAAGCCGTTGTGTGACTTTTGACTGGTTCAAACGTTTTAAAGAAGGTCGTATATCCATTGAAGATGACCATCGTCCTGGGCGTCCATCAACATCAAAAACAAATGATACCATTACTCTAGTTCGAGACAAAATTAGATCCGACCGAAGATTAACTGTCAGAGAAGTAGCTAATGAAGTTGGCATATCAATTGGTACTTGTCATTAGATTTTATCAGATGAATTGGGTATGAAAAGAGTGTCCGCAAAATTAGTGCCAAAATTGTTAACCGAGGAGCAAATGGAACATCGCATTGAAGTGTGTTTGGATTTAAAAAATCGGGTTTCTAATGACCCAAGTTTTATCAAATCAATAATTACGGGCGATGAAACATGGGTGTATGGATATGATCCCGAAACCAAGGTCCAATCATCGCAATGGAAGACCGCAAGTTCACCTCGTCCAAAAAAATGTCGTCAGGTCCGGTCAAACATCAAAGCAATGCTCATAGTTTTTTTTGATTTTTCTGGTTTAGTTCATTATGAGTTTGCACCTACAGGTCAGACAATAAATCAAGTGTTCTATAAACAAGTATTAGAAAGATTAAGAGAGAAAGTACGCCGTAAAAGACCAGAAGCGTGGAAATCAAAGTCGTGGTTTTTGCACCACGACAATGCACCGGCGCATTCTGCACTTTCCGTATGTGAATTTTTGACATCTAAAAATATACCAGTGGTACCTCATCCACCATATTCACCCGACTTAGCTCCCTGTGATTTTTTTTTGTTTCCAAGACTAAAAAGTACCCTCAAAGGCCACAGATTTGAAGACGTTAACGAAACTATTCATAACGCGAAACAAGAGCTAAAGGCTATACCTATAGAGGAAATTCAAAGGTGTTTCAGAAAGTGGCAAGACCGTTGGGCGCATTGTATTGATGCTAAAGGACACTATTTTGAAGGTGATCCATTTAAATAATTTGTAAGTTTGAAATATAATTTTTAATAATTTTAGTCTGGGTATTTATTGAACACACCTCGTATTTACGATGCATTAATTAATGCACAACATTACAGTTTGTGGTATACAGTTTATAAATGATAACGTACCTGTACGTAAAAAAATCGCACTTAAATTTTTAAAATTTTTAAAGAAATTCACTGTAGCGTTTGTTATTTCTTGCGGGTAGTACCTATGTCTAGTGAATATCTCTGCACGCGTGAGTGTATGTGGTAGAGTAACGTACACAAGTGTTTAAAGGGAAAACATGTTAGTATGTAGGTCGCAATGGTAATACAAGAAAATAACATTAATAAAATATATATTATATTATACATACATTACTTAAACTTGACCGGGCTCAATTTTTTATAGGATCCTGTTGCTATTTTATCAATTTTTAATGATCCCAACCTCTTCGTATTCCATTCGAGAGATTGGTCCTGCGGTTCATTTCATTATCAAATCGTACATACGCGTAGTAGTGTCTATCCAAAAAACAGGTCCTATTGATGAATTATTGGATGACGAAAATATCCTTTCGTTAACGTTTAGTTGTTCGTGATTGATGTCTATTGACCGGTAACGAATAACAACCATACTAACTATATAATGACATCAATTCCCTGTATAGTAAGTACCTACGTCGAAAATCCTATAACTCAACATTAAAATAGAAATGTTATTCTTCTTAATAGAACCCAAATTGTATTTGTGTGAATACGTACTTATACGAATAGCTAAATTCATTAATTTTGATAAAACTCTTATATATTAGTTATATTATAATAGGGTAATTAATTTTACAATAAATATGATTGAACTTGTTTTTATGGCTGTATGCGTTAATTTCTCAAAGAAATGACTTTCCTCTTTGATTATCCAATAAATGCATAATATAATATCGCTGTCCGAATTCAAACTGTTGTAACCGGCACTAACCGCGGTATACCGTCCATGGTCATTGTTTGGTCTCGTGGGAATGGTCTTGAACCTTGATGATCTGTTTTGTAAGATAGCATAATAAAAAAAAACACCGTTTTCCTTAAATAAACCCTGTCTGGTTATAATATGTCCGTTTATACGCGTTTGATAACAAAAAAATAGAGTCCCACGCCATAGTTTAGTTATGTAACTAATATACGTGTCAATATACAATAAACTATTATCGTTATAATAATGTTGGTGTGACTTTGCAGACGCTTGTGGAAAACCAGTTAGTAACCTCCGCGAAAAAATATATTCTCTCAAAGCTTCGGATAAGTAGAATATTATGCCCAGCAAATCCTTATTTGAGCATCGGACACGATCGTGATCGGATTGACCATTGTGACGTTACAATAATACTGCACACGTACTTAACAATATCGGTATTTATATAAAATATTTCGAAAGTATAATACCTATAATAGTTGCAAACAAAATAATGCAACTTGTTATCGTTGTTGTTATCGAAGTCAGTTATAAACATAAATATTTTTTTCGTTGATGTAATAGCTAGTACACGTGACAAGTAGGTAGGTACATATTAGTAAACTACTGTTATATTATAGTGAACCTACTCTGTACTAAATATAATGCCAGAAATTAGGTACCTATAATGTGCAATTTATGCCGAAATTGACATGCTCGCACATTATTTGGAGATAGTTTCCTTTTTTAAATTGAGTTTGATAAACTCTGCTTTTTAATAATAACGTATCTCTGTCACTAACTATAAAATCAATTAACTTGTATAGCCGTATAATATGTAGGTAGGTAGGTACCTACGTACAATATATTCATTACACAATCAAAATTAACAACAGTTACTAATATGAAATAATAATATACATTTCATACAACATTGTAAAATATTTATATCAAAACTAGAATATTATAGAACTTCGTTAATTCGAAAACAATAAATTACTATTAACTACCTACTCATTTGCATTTTAGTGCAGTTACTTACAAAATATTAAAACGTCAAAAGAATTATTTAATTTTACCAATGAAACGTTTTAACGATAACATATATAGATATGTCAAGCTATTTGCATTGGCAGACAAAACATTTTGAGTACCTATAAATAATAATATTCCTAACGCAAAAAACAATGCCAGTTTTAATTTTGAAATGCGTTTCGCAATAATTCGTGTACCTACCTACAAAATAAAAAACAATAAATAATAATTTTTTTTTTAACTCAATGTCTATTATAAGTTATTATTACTATTTACACTTGCCACTTGGTGCAAATAATTTCCCCTTCTATACCATAGTACCCAGGAAAATATCTTTTTTTATGTTGTTTGTTTAAAAATTATAGAGGACATTTTTCTCTTAAATATGAAAACATTCGAAATGCGTTTAACCGAATTAACTTATATATATAGGTAGGTACCTCAGTGTTTTTTACTTAATATGAAATATATAATGAAAGAGGTGGCTGACTGATGGTTTGCCTTCACTTGTTTTTTGGTTGATCATCGACTATCGTAAATTCCATCGTGCCGATAATCAAAAATACGGAATAATATTTTTAATGATATTTTTGGTGACCACAAGCAACGGGAACGAGCAGAAAATATAATCTAACCAATTTTCAAACCTAGTAAAACCGGTTCAGAACGGTTCAAGTTTCCGGTATTTTTTATGCATAGTGAAGTTGTTAAGATACGTAATCACACTGTCAGAGATCGTAAAATTTCAATTGGTTTTTTAAACCACGTACCTTATGTTTGAATTTAATTGCAACCGTTAATATATTTCAACTAATAATTAACAAATACATGCCGTTTACGGCCATAAGTGAAATAACAATTTGTCTGGAGATTGAATTAACTCTAATCAGCTAAAATCCATAAATATTGATAAAATACCTATTTTGTCATTTGCATAATTTAGTAAGTATATTGAATCGAAAGTGGTATGAATGAAATAAATTTCATCTCATCCCACTTCAGATTGCTCTTCCGATAATAATAATTCACAAGGTCGTTCATTATTATTAAAGGTTATAGGTACTTATTCTGAATAAAATACTGGTTGGAATATTTTTCACCGTGCTGTTACACTGTTTTATGCTTATACATTTATTTATTTGAAAGAATTTAATAATATGTATACAATATTATTATTATGATATACGAAAAATGAATGGTACATGATTATTGATCACATTATACATTTTACAATTTTACATATTGCGGTAAAGAAGCTATCCTAATGAATAATGCTTATACATACGTTGTATTCTTAACGACCTAATAATAATAAATAATACTATTCACCAGTAAATATTCAAATGAACGTTATTATTCAGTTTTACGACTCGTCGTATTTGACAAATTATTTCTAACCTATTATTAATATTTAATATTATTTAATATCTATTTACGATTGCACATTTCTAACAGTGTTTAAACTTTATAAACTGTAAAAAATAATTAATACTTAAATATTATAAGCCATACATTTTTTTAAACTACCTACCTATATAGATATTATAAGTAGATAAATCTAATTATTAATTGTTATTTATTGCACTTTCAAAATTATACAAAAATATCAAAATCATAAAATTATAGTAGCATCGAGAATTAATAAAAACGAATTTCTAAAAATGCAATTTAATGTTCAGATTTAATTAACTATAAAAATAATTAATTAATTAACTTGGAAATATTGTTTAATGAAATCAAAAATAAAGAAAATAATTATTTGGGATTGGTTTTGTACCTACCTAAATATATTTTACATTTATTTTATTATAAAAAGCCAATAAATAAATGTGAATGATTAATATCAATAAATGCCAGGCTATTTAGGTAAACACCAAACGTTAATATTATTGTAAAGTTATTATAAATAATTTATTAGGTATAAAATGAGTAATTAATATATTATCCACTAATTCTAATATTTAATTATTATTAGTATAATGTTTTGTTCTTGTTGGTATTATTTTGTAAAATATTTGTACAAAATATTGCGAATACAAATAATATTACTTAATTGAGGACTAGGTTTTGTCAAATATTTCCTCTGCACTTACACGCGAGTTATTTCTGATCTGGTTATGTAATATTAGTTTAAGACAGACGAAACGTTAAGACTTGTTGTCACCGCCGTCGGCGTACTTGGGGTGGCATAAAGGGATGGAAAACTCGTATGCACATGCACACCGCACACGTACACGCGAGCGCGACAAAACTTGCACAAACACATGCGGAGCGCGCGTCGTGTAATGTTTGCCTAAAAACTTTTCTTACCCCAAAGTCCCCCGAGTGTTGTCTTAAGTTTTCGCACTACTACCACAAGTACTACTACTAATATTACTATTACTATTACCATTTCTATAATATAATGGCGGTACCGACTACGACTTAACGTGCGTACAAACTAAATATAATTCGATTACGTTTCGTAAACCAACGCAAATACCGCAAGCCGCGGACAAGGACTTTTAACAGTTATGATTTTCGACTGCACACACCTGCCCCATAGTCGGTTGTAGTCGTGTGTAAGTGCGTAATCTTCGCACGAGAATATCGCAGCAACCGTGCAGGTATGTGTAATAATAGAATAATAGATGTAATATAATATAGTGATGGCTTGAGCGTGTACGCGTCCGTTTAACTGCACCACTGTCTCTATGATTCGACTCTTGATAATATAATATTTAAGTATGGGTAGGTACCTACTTAAATCCTCCGGCAAGAGACGTCTATAGTCAGAGGTGGTGAATACGACGCGTGCACCTGAGGATACTACTACAGCAGTGTAAATTTGTCCGTATACGAATGCGAATTTCGACCGAATTACGCAACGGTTTCGTTAATGCGATAATAGGTACACATTATAATAATATACGATTTTATATATATAACTATACACACACAAATTACGTACATACATTCCAACGACGCAATCCGTTGTGCCTACGCTGAAGCCGTCGCACAATAGGAGAACGTGTGTGTGTGTATTGTGAGACAGATCAGCTATGTACTGTGCTCTGCAGGCGAGCGTGATTTTGTGGTCCATCAACATATACAGCGGCATGCGATGTGCAGGTGGATAAATCGTCTCTAAACATATAAGATTAGCGTACAGGGCGGTTCTCTCTACAACGACTCTGAACGTTTAAATAATTCTAAAAAAAAAATATATATACATTTTTTTAAATTTCTTCACAATTATTATATTAAATACGTTAATAGTCATTAAAACCTTTGTCACAAGAAATAATAATAATAATATAATATACATAGGTAATATTATAGTGTTATATTACGTGACGATTATTATATGATAGTTGACATTGAAAAGTCAAAACTCGACTACTACGACGTTATTAATATAATATAGTTATTAGCCATAGGCGCAATTTGGGGGGTGCTTGGGGGTGCTTAGCACCCCCAAAATTCATATTAGCACCCCCAAATTTTCAAAAGCATCTTTTAATTGTTATTGGTTATACACATATTATGTCATAGACAACAGGATAAATTAATTTCTAAGATTTGACTTATATAATAATAATAATAATAAATAATAATATAAAATACCGTTTTTCGGATGAAAGTTTAGTTTTAGCTAACTCATTAGACCAGTTTATGAAAATGGATTTTGAAAAAGGTTCATATTTCATCAATCATTACAAGGTTCGTAACTAGTAAATTATTTATAAACTAAATAATAATAACTCATTAATTGAATTCATAATAATTATAAATAGGTACCTAACAACCATGTATATAATATATTGTTGTGATTAATGTAATGTAGGTTAATTTTGTAAATAAAATAATCATATGAGGATAATATAATTTTAGGATGTTGTGAATATTGATTTAACATCATTGAAAGCAGAAATGTTGCTGACAAAAAATTGTTTACAAAATGGAAATTTGGATTTTGATATACTTGGAATAAAGAAAGTGGTGACGGAAGATGTTTTTCCAAACTTGTTTAAACTTATTCAAGTAGGATTAGCTATTCCTATAAGCTCAGCTACTTGTGAAAGGTCTTTTTCATCTATGCGCCGAATAAAGAATTGGCTTAGGACAAGCATGGAACAGTCAATATGTACAGATTTGTCAGTTATTAATATTGAGAGAGATCTAAGCAATAAAATTTATAAAGATAAAATAATAAATAATTTTACTATGTCTCAAAGGCGTATATCTTTAGTATAATATTTAAATGAAAATAAAAAACGTATTTACCTGTAATATATATTTATTTTTCAAATATTAATAATTATTGATTAATCAGGTAGTTTTATGAATGCATGAATGGTGTTATGAGGGTGGTGTGGGGGGGGGCGAAGCCCCCCACGGGTTACTTTGGTTCACATAAATCTAGCACCCCCATACATTTAGCCCAAATTGCGCCTATGTTATTAGCAAACAAATATATAATATTACTGAGTAGGCGTGACACGTTTCCGTGCAAAACACATTATAGGTACCTAAATAAATTATATTTAAAAAAATAATTAGTAGGTATTCCATTTAGCAAAACTTATACGGACTATTTGAATGTTTAGAGATACTGATTATAGATATTGATTAGAAACACCCTGTATGTGAATGTGTGTAATAAACGACCTGTTGAAATAGTACAGTCACGCATGTAGCCGTCGCTAATAAAAATACAAACATAATATTATTATACAGCTGACGATGTTTTGGACTATTATTTAAAAATCGTGTCGGCGACCACGATTGAGATAACCGAAATAATAATAAACAAAAAAAAAACCCGTTAAAGTTTATTTAGTCGTCATTGCCGGCAACAATATCAAAGTTCTTTCTGAAACACCTATATAGTAAAAGAAAAAACATTCCTTCCGGCGACTACATTATAAAGAAAACATTTTGAATTAGGAAACGTTATTTCATATTATAGCACTCACTGAAACACTGCGAAGCTCGGTGTGAATTACACACCTGTATGAATGTTTAAAATTAACAGGGGATAAAATATAATCTATTTTTTAAAAATAAACCTGCAGCTCTGTCGTAAGATATTTGATTTGAAAACTAATAAGAAAGAAATTAACATAACTTTTGTATTATATAATTAATACTGTAAACAAACCAGCTATATCATTAACATAACATTATTTAATAATAATACATTTTAAACTATATAATTATTAATTAGCATAGAATATATTGTATTATATTAATATTAGGTATCTGAATTATTTAGTTTTATATTCTGAACGAAAATTGATTGTATTGATATTTGATTTTACAATGATTTTTTTCTGTCTTTTATTTTGGGGCAGTAAAAATTCAACTTGGGAGTGGTTTCTGGTAGAAAATTCGATCTAATTGGTACTTAGTGGACATTTGTAGAAAATTCCCAGTACTTTTAAAAATAACCGGGAACAATTTACGAAAAACTGGAATTTTTACCCAAAACCATTTGACAAAATCAATTTTATGTTTCTTTAGTATAATATGTATCTATAGGCCTCCACACGAGTTTAAACTCAGTGAGGCCTAGTAATCTTTACTGATATTAAATAAAATAAAATAAAAATAACTCAAAGACAAATAACCTTAGATACATGACATTTTTATCAAATGATTATTATAGTACCATTGAATAGTAGTAGAAAATTGTTCTATAAATGATAACATTTTCAAAATATTTTGACTCTTTGAAATGTTCAAGTTTTTTATTTTTATTTTTTTATAAATGTTGATAAATATTTTAGCTGAGTCAAAAAACTTAAAAGTTAGTATAATGTTTTACATAAGTTGTTATTATAGCTAGTTGAAAACATAAAAAGATCCAATAGCATAATTTTTTTTAAGCATTTGAAGTTCAAATTTGGACGAAATTAGATAATATTTAAACGAAGAACAACGATTTTAGTTATTTTGTTGTAATTCAAAAATATTATTAGTGGTACTTGAAACTTTTAACATTTAACGTATATTATTAAATTTTATACTCAGGACACACAATGAAATTTTGAATTACAATATTTTCGGCAAAAATTAATTCAACCTATTGTATTACTAATAGTAAAATTAATTACTTTACAACAGTAATATAAATATATGATATAAAATGTATACATATTAACATATAAAAAGTAATATATAGGCTGGAAAACCATTTTCACTCAGAATTGTTTTTTGTACCTACGCTATAATTAATGGCTGAATTCAAATTTAACACATACATTGCTTTCATACTTACATTGCTCCTCCATGATAAGTAGGTACACTCAACATTCGACACCTACAACTTTAGAGTTACTTACTTTTACCATTTTCTTTTTAATTTATCAATTTTAAGAGTTTTAATTTTAAAACTAAATATATATAAATATATACTGCAAATAATTAATATATTAATTAATAACACAATATAATCCTAAATTATTATTAGAATATTTAACTATAATAAATTTAATAAGAATAATTAATCTACTAAGATCTAAAGCTCTTAAGTCTTAATAGATAAAATATTATTATAAATATAAATATTATAATATTATTTTTCGACAATGTAACATTTTTAACGAAATACCTAACTTTCTTTACTTAATCATACTAATAAATTCTAATATCTAACATTTATTTCTATGTTTTTTTAGGGTCATATGGTGTGATATCATGAGTTCTACGGCTTCACAAATTAGTGACTTCAATTTATTAAGACGATGTGGCAAAAGGTGAATACTGGAATTATTTTTAAAATTTCAAAAAGTAGTTTCGAATATTATATTTTAGTTTTGATCAAAACTATTTAAGAAAACTTAATAATAAAATTGTTATAAAAAATATTTTTTTTAAGTAATTTATATCGTGTACAAAACGTTACAGTACAAGAACCTATGTAATTTTTAATAAAAATTTAAAAATAAATTACCGCACACATTTTTAATGTACCTACCTGATCATAAAAACAGATTTTAAATTAAAAGAGATAACATACAATCTATTGTTCCCATTTCCCACCTAACTTATTTACCAAACTAGTGAAACTTGCAAAACTTTTTGCTACTTTATAATATATTCAAAAATATGATATAATCGATACTTAGTTAACAAAATGTTATAATAAAACGTTAATAGATTGTATTTATATGGGTAATTAATTGTGTCAACAATAATAATAAAAATAACAATAATATATTATATTATGCTTTATTATTTAACCTAAGCTTTGAATTACATATTACTGCAATTTAAATTTATGTATTATGATCTAAATATACTGCTTGATTTCGCTTTATTTTGCTTAACAAATATATCAGATATTATTTACTTCGCAGTTAGGGTTGAAAAACATAAATTTGGGCTTTACTGCCTTAAGGTTAGAATGTACAATATACATCTAATATTTAGGCAGGAAATATAACTTGTAACCTCATAGAAAAGTTTATTTAATGTTAAATCATTGAATACGACAAACGATTCCAATCAAAGAAGACCGTCGTCATATATTTCTACGGATTTTTATTTTGTTATAATTTTAAATTGCTATAGACATTTATTTTTCAATTAGTAAGGTAGATTGAATTACAACAAATCGCACACATTATATTATTGAATATATGATTACTATTATTAGATGTGATTAAAGTATAAGTCAATACAGACGTACTGTAGAATACTAGAATAGTGTGAATAGAAAGAATGATGATATAGAAAGTGTCTTTAGACACAAAAAACATGATTATAAAATCAATTCCTATTATTCACTTCGATTAGAATATAAAATATAGTTTTTACTTAATATATACCTATTTTACCATTTTATGTTTAACATAGTAAAGTCATTTTTTAAACATCGTTTAACAAACTTATCACATTAGACTAGAATGTCTCTAATAAATAAATGTATGCCTACAATATATACTGGAATATAAGAAAATCAAATTAGTTTACCTACCTAGAATTTAGTGTAATTTATTATTAATCATGGACCATAATATTATTACTATGTGGGTTTTTGAGAGGGGATTACGATACACTTTGAAAATTACTTTTCAAAAGATCTTAAGTATAGTTAAGACTTAGGTAGTCTCATAGATACAACATAGAATATCTGAACAAGTGCATTACGAAATGTCAAAATACGAACGATACCTATGAAAAAACTGTTATACATTTATTTTATACATTCAACCTGACCATGTTTATTTATTGAAAATATATAATACCTATCTACGCACAATATACTAATGGTGAAAAATATATTTTTTTAATATAATATGGACATTATTAATTTAAATTAGTTTTCAATTTTTCATAAACAAATACTTATTAATATTGGCAAAGGACAAGTACATACTTACTTAGAATATTTTATTTCGTCCATTAAAGTTGTTTTTTTTCTTAACAATCCCTCCACGCTTTGGAATTCTTCTCTATGTGACTGATACCACATGAACTCGTGGGCAATTCACTCGGTCATGTACAGAGTTTCAGACTGTTATGTCTAAATTCTATGTTTAGATAATAATATTATAATATAAACGTTATTTAATGACTAATGTCTATTTGAACAACAATCATAAATTGTTTTTTATCTAATTATTTTTTTATAGCATCGGCACTAAATACTATTATGCAGTTGTGCGTGCTGTACAGTAATTTTTCATCAAATATATAGGTATGAATAATATTTATCATATACCTATAATGTATATAAAATGTCTAATATTATTTTTAAGATATTATTATACTTATAAGTAGTACTTACAGTTTTTCGACATTTTATACCTATCATAAAGTGTATGCGTTGCTAGCCTTGAGAATAAATAACATTTGATGATCTATAATGACAAACGTGAAACGGCTATAACAAAAATCGAATATTTAAAATTTATTTATTTGCGATTTATTATTATTCGTTCTATTTATACATATATGCGAAAAAAATAAATACACCTATACAAGACGGTATTTTCTTTTAATAAAAATATCTGGTTAAGTGTTAATATTTTGCCTAACCTACTTGTTTTGATTTTTAAACACAATTCGGTCGTACGCTTTTGCCTTGAAATCGTATTATAATTACGATGAACTACACACACGCAAAATTAAACTATAATTACGCACCAACTCGATGTATATTATAAATTATAATATATATGCAACGTTCGCATGTACGCGAACGCGAAAATGTCGAAAAACCTGTTCATTCATACTCACTTTGCTGTCGTTGCAGGTCGTCAAAGAAGAACAACTCGACCATCGCGGAGCTGTATAACAATTTATACGCCAGTCAAATGGTGGCAGCCGACCAAAGGGCCAAAATGTCGCCTCAAAGAACCATTTCGCTGGTAAGTACCCATCACAGCTCTTGGTGTAATACTGTCAAAATGAATATAGTGATTAGCATAAAACCCATTAAAGTAAAATAATATAAATAATTATTCCCGAAACATTTGAAACGCTTACTTACTATATAATATCGTTCGACTAAATTATACTAATAACACGTATAAATTGTATAATATATTGGAATAAGGCTATACAGATATACTGAATAATAAATAAATAAGTGCTGTGTCCGAAATAAGCTATTTGTAAAAATTAGTTATGATTAATTAACATTTAAAATTTTTCCCAATTCATATATAGAAAAAAAAATACACGGAAAACCAATTTTTATTTTTGATGGGTAAAGCATACTTACAAGTATATATAGTTCTCGATAGATGGAACCTTTAGGTATTAATATGCACTTCGTTGCGTATTAATTATTATCTTAGCAAGTTTTGAAAACATTGTCTAACCTAGTATAACCTAACCAGTGAATGTGGCTTTCAGAAACTGAAATTTCATTCTCAAACATATACTAAGACTATCTATACATGTGAGCTCGTATATTTCTCTTCATGTGGTGTAAGGCATAAAATATCAACTTAAGTCCTTCGGGGATAGGTACATGCATAGTGGTTTTTGTGCATTATTTAGCCACATAAGTTGGCAGAAAGTTTATCAAACTTATGTAAATAAAAATTCAAACTATTTATATAGGTATACTTGAAATTTAGATACACTTTAAATGCTAAATCCTTATTTTGTTTTAAATATCCCGGCTACAATATACTTTATCCGACCCATACTTCAATAAGTTATGCACAAAAATAAATTATACGAACCAAAAGATATTTTTGCAATTCGTCGTCGTGCATCACACTACCCAGTGATATTCTTTGACGATGAAAAAAATGAAATTATTTTTATCAAACCCTTTATATTTTGTTATATTAATGTCTACGGACATGAGTTATTGTTACATATGAGATTATGCGAAGAAAACTGTGTTGTTATTCAATAATAATAATAATAATAATAATAATAACAAAGAATAAAAATAATAATAAATAGCTTCCTCGCTCCACTCAGAATCTAAAATACAGTTATAAATACGAAAACATAACGTTTTGAAGTATATACACAAAGTTTATTGTCTTCTATAAGCCGGATAAACTTGGACTTTAAACTTCTTTATCCGTATATGATGCGTACGAGGAAACAAATAAAAGTGCTTGAAATGTATAAAATTGGAAAGTTCCAGAAGAAAATAAATAATAATTTTACTGGTATACAACCAAATCAACAATGTCAAATTATTCGGCTTATAAGTATTAAATATATCAATATATGTATAATAAGGCTGGTCATATGATTTCGTTAACACACAACTGAACAACTCACTGTGCTACTGCAGATACAAAACGAATCTAGAATATCATAACGATCAACAATCTTGCAACGCAATAAACCTAAATATATATTATAATATACCCGTTATAGGTATATATTATATATATAAATACAATATGGTGGTATGAGAATAATCCTCAAAAACAAATTATACTAGTAAAGCCTCTCCAGACAATATAATATCCGTATGTGCAGGTAAGCACGGTCAGAGGCCAAGGAAACCGCGTGATTGCGGCGGTGGTCGTGTATTTCATAGCGGATCAGTGTATAATAATAATTACTGTTAGTATAGAGATACGCATACCGCATAATATATGTATACCTACGAGAAATAATCGAGAATACGGTGTATTCTGTATTTTGAATGTTCTGATATTATATTATTATTATTATTATTATACGCAGACACTTCACAGCCACTAGTATCCGGGCAACCTGTTATTTGGAATCATTAAAAATCTCGTAGATGTTGTAGATTCCGATAACCTCCTCGATTGGAAATCGAACGTAATATTATTATAATATTATCGTCTGGGCAAGTCGCTGGCAAACTATTAATTTCGTATATAAGTATAGTAGCGAGTAGTATACGATACGATGTCGGTGTGGGTACTTCGTGTCGGACATGCGCATTTTTCTGTTTGGCTGCATCAATATCAGCGTGTAGCTTATATTATTATATATTATGGCTCGTATACAGTAAAAATAATATGTATTTATGGTTAAAAGATAGTTAAATACCAATCGCGACTACTATTACCTGTACGACTATACCCATCAAACAAAACAATTTACATAAGTGATGATAAAATGGTAAAAAATACCACAGCGTGTTAAACTTTAAAGAAAATATAGGTATTTAAAGTTTAACTATTATAGGAACAGCTAAAAATTAATTTTCGTAGTAATGACTTTAGTGAACAAGTAACGTCAATACGATTATATCAATCGCAATGTTAATTAAAATATGTTCAAACTCGAATGAGTGTGTACACTATATAGTAATTACATATGGCTACACGGAAAGTATAATATGTCATTTAAAACGTAGATCTAAAAATGTATAATACCTAGGTATAAGTAATTTCTGTGGTCCTAATTTATTTTAAATGCTAATGAACCACTTAATATCGTTTTTATAATTTACTACATCCTATTCTTGGGACATACCAGATGTTGGGATGTGCAAACCGACGAAACGCTTTCATTCACTACCCTATATAATTTATACCCATCGTTTGTATTTTTAGACCTGAAATATTATATTTATACGGATGGTGTTCTTAAATTATGCCCCCAGTCTTCATTAAGTTTTTAATAATCGTGAGTCTGTAATAGCATATACATGTAATACTATCAGTTCATGGTAAGGACTAGATAAGGGTGTAATACTAAATTGTTAGTAGGTATTAACTCCAGTCAACTTTACATTATTAACATAATATTTTAAATCGATTTGCTAAAGATGTAGTTTTCGTCATTCGCATAGTTTAATAAATTTAATTGTTCAACTTGTACCCCGCCTCAATACCACCCTCATGAACACGGTTACTGAGGTGATAGTGTACTGTTGTATTATTTTATTATATAATATATGTATATGTTGCTAAATCGTGTTCAAGTTATAAGTTTCTAGGATCTGTAAATTAATATAACTTGGAAAACTTTATTTTTATCAGTCCAACAACCCGGTTCGTTAGTCCGGTTCGTCTAGTGGGATTAGCCGACCAATTACTCCTTGATAGGTTTTGGTAGAAATATCAACACACATCACTTAGTTTGAAATAACGAAAGAGACGTAATACAAATTAAGTTACCTACTTATAGGTACGGGTTGAAATTAAAAAAATTAGAATGTATTTAAAGCATGTATACTGTATAGAGTAAAGTTACGATTCACAATCAGTAATCGTCTAATCACTAATCAGTCAAAAAAGGTTTATTCTTCTATGGCGGCCCCCAGTGTAATATTATAAATGTGTAAACTGGCCCACCAACTACAAAATGTTGGTCCACCCTGATCTATAAAAATAAGGTACAAAGTAAATAAGGTTAATAAGTTTTGTTGTAGGTACATCTGAATAACATACAATAAATTAAATATTGTTTTATTAAAAAAAATCCCATAAAAATGCATGGTGGATCGGCTAGCCTATAGCAATATTTTTTTTAAATTTTATTTCTGAAGTCAATGGACAATGGTAACCATTTCAGTATACATAATATTATGTTAAATACTTATATGTAGAAAACATTATTTGATTTTCGTGATCCAAGACGAAGCTCATGTTATCATGTGTGAGCGGTATATATAGCAACTATATAGCAACCATATAGCAACTACCCAACCTACAGGGGTTAAAAAAGAAGCTAATAACACCCTCCAAATTTCAAGGAATCAGTTGATATAATTTTGTATTAAAAACAGTCAAGTCATTTCTGATATTAACTATTAGTAAAAAAACTGTTCTGGATCGGCAGAGTGAAACTACAGTGGATCTACTGCGTTAAAGTTGTTATAATAACGAAACGTTGACGCGTTTGATACCAAGATGTTGTTTATGGCTTATGTATTTTACATGAAGATATATTAAATATTAGATAATAATATGGTACCTATTGTATAGAAAAAATTTATGCAAGTAACAATGAATTATATAATCTTATATTGGGCTCATCGTGAGTGTTCAATCGATGATAAACATATTGTCATATTATACAGTTATTGTACATGTAAACAATACATGTTTTACAAGTCTTAGTAAAAAAAAATAACTTGATTAATTATAAGAGATAAAATATAAAATGAGGAAATCTTGATTTTTGATAGAGATCAAATTAATAATCGATAATAATAGCTTTATATTATTCACAATTAAGTCTGCAAAAATGCGATCAAATTTCTAGTCGATGAGCCAAACGGAAAAATAAAACCAAACAATTTCAACGATAAAAATTATTTATAAGCACAGGAAAAATTATCATGCTTTGTAATTTAGTGGGATTATTCAAGTCACATTAGACACTGATTTTTTAATTATCTTTTAAAAACTCCAGAAAATTACTCAAAAATGTGTGATATACAGACAAACGTTAATGCAGAAGTTGTTTTTTTTACTACTTAATATTACAACTTCTGCATTAAGATTTTTTTATATGGGAGTCCGATTAGACCAAAATAAAATCATCATATTATATCCAATTAAATATAAAATTGTCAAATTAGTAATTATACTGACTATTTCACAAGGCGTGAGAGTTTTTCCTGTGAGCAAGGTTTTATATACTGAAAGTTTGTCAAATCCGTTGCCCTTGAATAACAATACAAAGGTAGCATAATGATAAAGTGAACACAAAGCACGGCATTAATACTATACAATGACTTTTGTTTTAAAACCTATACAATTTTAAATGCGCATTATGTCTTTCATTGATATTTAATAAAAAAAAAATATGTAAATACTAAGATAAATTGATAATTAGATGATTATTTAAAAGTATTATGAAAGTATAATAGTATAGAAAAATTAAATGAAAAAAAAATTTAAAATTTAATTTGATTCCGGCCAGGATCGAACTGGCGACCTTCTGCGTGTAAAGCAGACGTGATAACCACTACACTACGGAACCACATACTGAAACTGACAAATGGAGGTCTGTTAAGCAAATATACAAAATGATGTAACCTAATATTTTGGTATAATTATTAATTTTTGTTCGTAATTTAAAATTAATTACTTTATAAAAATGTATTTTGCTTTAACAGTTTTTAATTAAAATCTAGTTCGAATTGTAATTTATAATAAAAAAAATTTAACTATGGGTACCCTATACCGATTTACAATAAAGGTTAATTTTCTTTTCCGATTTGTTTTCTTCTTACATCGAGTTTTAGAAAACCATCGTAGTATCGTACTATATCTCAGGTCCAGGCAATCTATTTAAAATTAGGGTTTTTTTTATTAAATTATAAATCTTACACCTATAGGCTATGGCTATAGGTATATAAAAAAAAGTGAGTGCTGTCATGGGACACTCGGTAGAAACGAAATTTCTTTTCCAACAAATATTATAGATTACAAATACATTTTAGTGGAACCATTCAAAATAAAAATAAATGAAAATGAAAATTATTATTATTACTATTTAATTACTATTATATTAATCATATTCAATAATCGAAAATATACATGCCTGTGATAACTGCAGAATATATGATACGTATGTTTGTGATGTAATTTTTTTCCAAATATCTTGAAAATTCTGCATCGATAGTGGTGTCATCTCTCGTTGTATGGTCTTGTAGATTCTGCTGGATTGTTTATCATAATATATATTCATATGTAAATTGAATGTGTCCATAAGGAAAGTTTTAAAAGTTTACAGATTTCTAATCATTAAAATTTAGGTTAAAGTCACCAAATCGTTATAATCTATAAACTATAATAATTATTAATGCATAATATGCAGATCTTATTAAGCTGTTTCAAATCGTATAGCGTTATACCCGTTTTCAATTACCTAGTCTCTATACCAAACGCGACACATCAAAAAATGTAATCAAGGCAAAGGTAAAGGCAAAGCACAAGAACTATATAGAGATATATCACGGACTAACGTATCTTCATGACTAAATTATTTATTTTGTCATGCGTATCTTAGTCCGTGGGATATATGCAACAATCAGATTATTCTAGGAAAACAGTTTCATGAAATAAAAATGTTTACGAGTCATGCAAGGAGATTATAAGATGTAACCAAAGGTTTAAGCTTTGTAAGGACCGTGGTATAGATTTCAGTGTCTGGTTGTGCATGGAATACGCGTGATATAGGTAAGCGCCCAGCACTTTTGAGGATTTCCACTTTTTCCCCCGGCACTATGGGGATTCCCATTCCCACTTTACGGCCCGCTAGACGGAAAAAGGTCGCTTTACAACGCTTCGACCGCGGTCGAAAACCAAACTTTAGGTGCAGGCGTGACAAAAATATATTACCTAAGTACAATTCAACACTTATATATTATATTATATACGTATTACATATATATTTTATTAATTATAATAATATAATAAATGCATAATGTACGCGTAGTGTAGCGATGTATTATCAATATATACGCAAGATATTTATAATAATCTATTGCGGACCGTCTCTGCAACTTACCGCTCTAGCTTTTTTTTTTTTTGTTAAATCCTACCAATCGATCTAATAATGCTAGAAATATATATATAATATGCTAATATTTCTGAAAACTGATCTGAATTCGTTAGAATTTTTATTAGGATCGGTCAGTCCACATTTTGAGATTTCTGTTTAAATTCCGAATAAATCCAGAATCATCAACGTTTGAAATTTCCGAAATTTCAAAATATTGAAGCTAAATTTTTAGATGTTGGGGTAAGGGTGAAATTGGGAAAAGTGGACTGACCAATCCCAAGTATACATAATAACGAATTTAAATCTGTTTTAAAAAGTATGATCGCATTACTAGATGGATCAGTATGATAGAATGAAAATTGGATGTTTTGCCTAAAATAACTGTTTCATATATTATAAAAAAATATAAAAGTTAATTTTTTTTTCCAATTTGTTTTCTTCTTACATCGAGTTTTAGGAAATCACGCGTTAGGTGTACCGATGTAGGTAAAATAGGTTTTATCTACATCGTGAGTGTACCAATAACAATGCGAGTGATCGGCCAGGAAAACAATCACAAATTTTATAATATTTATTTTCTAAAAATATTCTATAAATAAAACCATCGTAGTATCGTACTATATCTCAGGTTCAGAAATCTATTTAAAATTAGGGATTATTTTATTAAATTATAAATCTTACACCTGTATATAAAAAAAAAAATTTTCAAATATGCGAAATATGAGACTATAAATTTTAAAATATATAACATCGTATTGCAATGAAACAAATTTCTATATTACTTAGCTATGTTCTAAGTTCTTAATGATTATTTAAAAACAAGCATCTCCTGGAAGTCCCTAGCCCTAATTATTAGGTGGGTACTTAATTAGTAATGAGTGGGTATAGCTCCTAAAACAATATTTTATTGCATCGGAATTGTAGTTTTAATACTATATGTCTATATTGTATATCTGTATAGTACTTTGTTTGCCTATTAATTATCTTTTGCTATTCATTAGGTACTGTCTATAGACTTATAAACTAGCCATGTATAAATAATATGTAATATTTAATTTTTAAAGTACCTAAGGATATTTATTTATTTTCTAGGGTTCGTTACATCATCCACCACCAACTCAATTTATGGAACCCAGACTCTCGCAACTTGAAACATTAGAAGCTAAGGTAACTTTAAAAAAAAATCATCTTGATAAATAAATTACAATACCTATATTATATTATTATATTTATGTTTAGTATACCCATCTGAAAACAATATGTAGGTACCTACCCATCTATTGACTATTATAATGATATTTTATTATAATATAATGTTTATACTTAATAGTTAATACCAATAGATCTTAAGTTTGCTACATATTGGTATCAAAGCTTTTTCTATACATTATTTGTTATTATTATAGAGACATAATACATAAACATATAATAAGGATATGTACCTACCATGCACAAATTGTACATAATTCAGGGACAGACTGGTCCATGGGGACAACGCCACACCAAGAAATTTCCCGTGGTGAGCAACTTAGGCAATATTGTAATTTTCAATGGCCACTAGTTGCCACACAGGTTAAAAAAAATGTTAGCACAATAGAAGTAAAAAGGCTTGTAAGAAAACACCAGAGATTTCCAGGATTATATGTCTGTTTATTCAGATCTAGAGACCTTGTACTCAATAGGTTTATAACTATATTTTAATACCTACTGTACCAAATAAAATAAAAATGAAATAGTTCAACAACTTAATTTTACGACGGCAAAATCATACCTACCTATTCTGTTCTAAATACATAATTTTATCGATAAAATATAATAAAATCTAATACTATATATTGGGTTAATAGTATTTAATATAATAATTATTTAAATTTATTTTGGTAGCTATATTTAATTTATATGTAAATAAACTGTTGACGAGAGTTAATAATATAAAAATATATTTTTGTGTCAAGACGAATATTATAACGTGCCTACGTCCTACCTATTGAATAAAAATTATTTTTATGATAAAATAATATTATAGGTAAGACTATGTTTTTTACTTTTTTATTATAGAAAAAAATATTTAAAAATTATACGTAGAGAATAAACGAGTAAAAAGTACATTTGAATATATTTATCACAAGCATTGTTCGAAAAAGGATGTTAGGATCTAAGATAATGACACAAATACACAATGTACAGTAATTACTGAAATACATAGGTTCTATAAAAATACCTAAGTACCTACGAACATGGTTATTGGGTTATTGTTTACCATAACTGCGTATAAGTGCAATATCCTATCTCCTTTGGGCTCTGAATAGAAAATCACGTTTGAAACCAAATTCTGTTCAACTATACTTATAATAATTCATAATTGTTATTTCTGTAGGTAAAATAACACGTACAGTTTTATACCGATAATACTAGTTATGTGTACAGTCCAATGATTTTGAAAACAACTATAGAATACGATTAACCATTTTAAAAATAAATTTCCAGATGGCTAGCATTGAAGTCTCGCTATCTACAACGCTGAAAAAAACGAAAAAGAGTTCAACTCCTATCATACCGAGTAGCCCCCAACCGGCGATGATTGCACAAAAAACCATAACACCTGTCAAAAGCAATGGTTATATGACGGACAACCACGACAAAGAAAATATTGCTCGAAACAAGTAAGTTTATCCTCTATATAGGTTTATCATTTTATGATTGGTCGCGTAACCCTTTGCCTAGGTATTTAAAAAATAATAATTTGCAGCGTAAAACTTCAAACTCATCTAGTCAACGAAACCAATGAGCAGAACAAACATAATCAAAAAGTACAAAGCGATACGGTCAACGAGAGTGAAAAACATTCGCTGACCCAAAAAATAGAAAGCCTAAAAAATGACATGGACCAAAAACGATTGACTATTAAAAACATAAAAATGTCACTGGAACAATTAGATGTTACCGAGTAAGCAAGACAACACGTTGTTTAATGAAAATCTAAAATAAAAAAAAAGTAGAAAGAAAAATTAATATAACTGAATCTTTTTTACAGAATCATCGCGTTTAATAGTTGTTTTATTTTTTTTTAATCGTTCCAGTAACATTGACACGAGGATACAACAGGCGGAGTTGGAATATCAATTGGGCAGGGAGGAACTTAACCTTCTTAGTCTAATGGAAGAGACCAACAAACACAAGTGTCGTCTCGAAGAGATTGAACAACACAACGAACAAAATGAAAATAACACTCTATACAAGTAAGTAAAAGATAAAAATCAATACCGTTGCACAACCTAACTGGAATTTTTCGTAGTTATTTAGTTTCCAATCCCGGGGCTGTGATTAGCTTACAAGCTGTAGAGCTGGAATACGATCCAAAAAGCCCTAAGTTTGGCGTGGGTTCGAGAAAAGATAAGCCGGGCCTGTTTATTGACTGGACAGTTAATGATTTGGGATTTTCTAAAGGAGATAGGTAAGTCAACAAGTTTATAAAAAATACACATTATATTGTGTACCTATTTTTAAATATATTTAAATATAATATAGTAAATTTATATATATATATATATTTAATTATTTAGTGTCTGAATGTAATAGTGTTAACATTACATATAATATAGTATTAATATAACATTTAATGAATCAATAGTGGTTAATGGTCCCTAAAAATAATTTAATGGCCCAAAACTGGTTCATTAATTTTCCTAATGGTTCACTAAAATGTAATGATCCTTGATTAAATTGTTGAACTATAAACGTTCGCAATCGTCTTATTAAAAGGTCGCCCTGATAAGTACCATGGCAAAAGTGTATCACTGGATTAAACCTATGATACAATTTAAATATTGAATAGGAAAATAGATCATTCTCTTTAAGTATAGTACCTACTACCTATAAATACAAATACCTATGAACGCATTCATTTAATATAATCATTATTAATTATTATTTAACCTTTACTATACGGTCCGGCCTTGTTTGAAAATCTTCTAACTTTAGGCGGTTTTCCACATCCTATATATTATATAAAGATACATGGGTGTCATATTCGGGATGATTAATGCATTTTATAAGGTATAATTTTTTATTTTTGTATTTCCTGCCACAGGTTACTGGAAGTGAACGGTAAAGTAGTGTTGTCGATGAAGAACAACCACGACCTGAACCGACTGCTGGAAGTATCGCCATCGTCCGTGCGCGTGGTGGTCATGCACGACGGGCCGTCAGCCGACCACCAAATGGAGTTGGCGACGCTCAGGCGGGAGCTGGACGCTTGCCGGACCCGGGCCGAAGAAATGGACCGGTCCAAGCACGCGTACAAGACGGAAAACGTGAGGCTGTCGCACAGGGTGTCGTACTTGGAGGATCAGGTGTCGGAGCTGATCAAGTGCCGGTCGTCGTCAGCGGCCTCGAACGGTGGCGGAGGCGGCAGCGGCGTGGTGTTTCAGAGGGGCGCCAACTCGGCGGTGATGGTCCGGAGCAAGAGCCCCAAGCACGGCGTGTCGGCCATACAGCAGTACAAACGAAAACAGGTGGTGTACGACGATCGGCCCGCGGCGGTGAGGGCCCCGGAAGGGGGACCAGTGGTCAAGACCCGCATCCGGACAGTGCCCCGACTGTACGGCAGTTCGGCATCGGTCGAGTCTCTGGTGTCGTCGTCCGACGCCGTGGTGGCCGCCTGCAAATCGTTCGACGACCTGCACGGCGTGACCGAGGGGCACGGCAAACGAAACAAGTATCCGGCGGCTGGTGGCCGGAACAGCAGCAGGACTCGACACATACGAGAGGCCCAGCAGACGTTGTTCCGGTTCCTCGACTCCGAGTCGTCCGGCGGAGGTGGCACTGCCCCGTACTTGCTTCAGCAGTGCGGCGGTGGCAGTCTGAGGTCGCTCGACTTGCAGGACACGGCGGCCGCCGACTCACACCGGTTGAAGAGCACCGAATATTACTCGCACCTGACCGCGGCCGGGGTGACCTCCTCGTCGGCCGCAGGGTCGCCGCGACCCAGCCGGTCGCTCAACTACGATTCGGAACAGTCGGGCCGGCGGGCCCCTATGCCGCCCAAAAAACCGTTGCGGCTGTCGCTGCAGCAGCGACAAAGTAACAGCAGTGCCGCGGCCGGTAAAAACGACGTCGAAAACACCGCAACGACGGTCAACGACAACGGCGGCGACAACGACAATGTCGTCGTCAGACTTCGTCACGGACACAACCACCACAATCACCATCGTCGCCGCCGCAACGACGACGACGTCGACCTGTCGGCCATAAACAACACCATGTCGTGAAACCCTCCTCCACCTACTACACCTACCTATAAATTATTTTGTGTATATAAAGTTTTTTTTGTCTGTTTAATATTAAAGTTAATTTATTTTCCTAATATAATATGAAATTCGTTTGAACGTGTATGGGTTCTTTATGTTTACATTACACCTACTACAATATCGGTAGTTTCGAACTCTATGTGAAGGTGTAGGCGTGTTTTATGATACCTACTAAAACAATAAGCATAACAATCACACATAATAATATATTGAATTACTTACATTATCCTCCTTGCCTGAGTACCCGTCATGTGATCGTGTTAAAATAATTGTTTTAAATCCATTTTTCAAACTTTGGAATGTAATTTCTTTACAGGAATTAAATGGTAACATATTATGTTCAGATCTAAACGATAGCTGGAATCTAAATCAATAAATAATAATTTAAGTCCAAATACATTATTTTTCTTTATTCTATAACAGTTAATAAGTAACAGGGGCTTATGAGTTAAACGTCATATTTATAGTATAATGCGTATCTCGTTAATTTTTCTGTTACCTACGACCTACCTCACATTATTATTATATCATTACCTATGTAGTTGGTAGTGTTTGTACCATTGTACCGGATTAAGGGGGGGGGGGGGGTTCAGAGGGGTTATTTCTAGACACCAAATCGTGTTTAGTATTTACTATATTAATGTATTTTTCAGTTTTGTAAATAAAGTAAAAAATAATTAGTTGAAAGGTTAGCCTGCTTTTACACCACTGAAATTCCGCTAGGTATGTCGAGTTCATGCGATTTCTATCCGATTCATATTCTATCGTGCTGTAGCTGTTCTGTATGCGGGCCGCACTTGATGCACAAAGGTCCCCACAGCTTATATTGTCACTAAAAGTAGGTATTTTGCACATAGTGAGCCACTCATCTGTGGGCGTGCCTGTGACTGACTGAGCTATATCAACGCACAGCTGAAACCATTTGACGGATCGGACTGAATTTAGGCATACAGATAGCTATTAAGATGTAGACGTCCGCTAAGAAAGGATATTTGTAAATTGTGGAAAGAACTCAAACAATAAATTACAAAAAATGAAAAAATCAATTAATGTAGGAAAACTAACATTTATACTAGAAGTAAAATCACAATTTTTTTTAATAATATAGATAAAAATATACATTTGTTGCCGAGATAAATTTATTTGTATTTTGGATTTCCTATATTATGTTTGTTTAATCGTATATAATATAAAAATGTGTAAATGGTAATACAGTTTAAATACAATTATTTAGGTTAATTAATATACTATAACTTATAACTATATAATATCGAAGGATATATTTGATAAGAAATTAATATGATAAATTATAAAATTTTCATGAAAATGTTTATCACTATACTCACCAGCCCTGCCTATAATGTAAGGCTATCATACCTACTATTAATATTAATTCTTATCGTGAATTGGCTACAAACATAATAATATAAGAGTTTATAAATAATAATTATTATTTATTCATATTTTATATTATAAAAAAAATACTATGCTGGCCATATAATAATATAATGTCTGTTATTAATTTCCATATAACCGATACAAGAAACTAACATAATATTCAATTTGTTTATTTCTTATTAATGTTTATATTTCAATTTCGTTCAAAAAAAACATTTAAATTATATACGTCACAGTTTTAACTTTCATGCGAATAATATTAAATTTTTTCGATTGCCGTTTTAATTTGTAATTTGTTTAATTTTTCCAAAATTATTTTTAACTTTCCTTACTTTCTTTAAGTTCGTGGAAAACTAGTTGTTCTTTTTATTTTCAATATTTAAACCTTTACACTATTTTATATACATATAGGTGCACACATCAACATCATTGAATGCAATTTTAAATGAACAAAAGCTATTATTTATCAGAACACGGATCCTAAATAGTATTGTATGTACCTCGATGTTTCATAGCTATTTGACAATATGGAAAAGTTAATGAGTCCACTTGATAGTAAGAAATTATTTAAACTCAGCCAAATTAAACTTGGTACCCATAAACAGGATATAAACCAAGTATAAGTAAGACAATTTTCTGTATTTTGTAAATACATATATATAATATTTCAGTGGTGTATCCAGGGGAGGGGCCGAAGGGGCTGAAGCCCCCCCGAAATGTTAAGAAAATAAAAAAATTATTCAAATGGTGTATGATAGTCTCTCAAAAACCCCTAAATAGTATTTTAAATATTTAAAAATTTACTATAAGTAGGTGTTAATACTTTTCAGCTATCTATCAGCTGTGCTATTACGTATTTAATGTGTAAAAGTGTAAAAGTCATCATCCCCCCCCCCAAAAAAAACTCCTGTCTACGCCACTGTAATATTATATTTGTTTAGTATTTTTTTGTAGTAGCATATAATAATATATAAGTAGGTAGGTGCTATAGATTTACACTTATTAGATAAAGTAGCTAACACTTAGAGCAATTTTTCCGCGGTAACTGGTTTGGCCGTGGGGGACCACCGAAGGGAAATAAATGGACACGAAAACTATTTTACTTAAAGTTTTTTTTTTCAAAACCGCCAGACCCCCCCAGAAACTAATTGCCGACCTCTGGCTTAGAGAGTGACCTGTGAAAGTGACGGATAATACAGCAACCAGAGGTTTTCGGTGATTTGGTTTTAGATGAGAACGAAAATTGTCCTCGGTGCATATCGTCCGCATTATTCGTAATGAGTAAAATAATTATTATTGTATTTAATTTTCATATTATGTCGTGCCTAACGTCTTCAGCTCCCTGTCAAACACATAACAGACTATCGCCGGCTGGCCTCACGTACACACGCTATTATCTGACTTTTTACGGCAATTTTTTTTGTATTATTTAAAATATGTTGTTGTGTTTGTAATTGTTTTATAATTATAATATAATATTTTTATAATATATAATTATATAGGCACCTAGTGTTAAAAACGTTCTCATTACCTATAACTTCTACTTAATTAATACGCTGCAGCAGCTCAAATAGCTGTCTAATCTAATTATTCACATTATAATATTTTTATATCATTGCCGATTATTTATTATTACATTAATATAACACAATATTATAGAGCCAAATCGCTATTGCATTTATCTTTTAATCGTTATTTACGTATTTTATTAATTGTTGGGTCAAAAATGTAAAAATTTAGAAATACTACCTACTTACATAATTGCAAGGTTCATCTTTGGACCGAATCCACCCTATATTTTAATTAATAATTTATTATTATTCTAATCCATAATTGCATATTATGCTGTGATTAATTTGTTTTTATTTAAATTACCAATATTGTTATACAGCAACTTATTTTATACTACCAGAAACTTCACACATGTAACACTATATACACAAATACACAATACACATCAAAACATAAACCCACTTACCCGTTTTATACCCACCACGCACTACAGTTTTGCTAAGGAACCTGTCCACTACCTTTAAACTACTATTATATTTATATTGTGAGGAGTCTTGTTGTCGGTTTGAACGGATGTCGATGAATAGAGGATACTGTTAGTAGTTGGTGTTTAATAGAAAAAGACATAGAAATAGGACTTGAGTATATTATGTGAATGTTTAATAAAATTAGAGAAATAATAATAATAACCACCAAATGGAGTTGGCGACGCTCAGGCGGGAGCTGGACGCTTGCCGGACCCGGGCCGAAGAAATGGACCGGTCCAAGCACGCGTACAAGACGGAAAACGTGAGGCTGTCGCACAGGGTGTCGTACTTGGAGGATCAGGTGTCGGAGCTGATCAAGTGCCGGTCGTCGTCAGCGGCCTCGAACGGTGGCGGAGGCGGCAGCGGCGTGGTGTTTCAGAGGGGCGCCAACTCGGCGGTGATGGTCCGGAGCAAGAGCCCCAAGCACGGCGTGTCGGCCATACAGCAGTACAAACGAAAACAGGTGGTGTACGACGATCGGCCCGCGGCGGTGAGGGCCCCGGAAGGGGGACCAGTGGTCAAGACCCGCATCCGGACAGTGCCCCGACTGTACGGCAGTTCGGCATCGGTCGAGTCTCTGGTGTCGTCGTCCGACGCCGTGGTGGCCGCCTGCAAATCGTTCGACGACCTGCACGGCGTGACCGAGGGGCACGGCAAACGAAACAAGTATCCGGCGGCTGGTGGCCGGAACAGCAGCAGGACTCGACACATACGAGAGGCCCAGCAGACGTTGTTCCGGTTCCTCGACTCCGAGTCGTCCGGCGGAGGTGGCACTGCCCCGTACTTGCTTCAGCAGTGCGGCGGTGGCAGTCTGAGGTCGCTCGACTTGCAGGACACGGCGGCCGCCGACTCACACCGGTTGAAGAGCACCGAATATTACTCGCACCTGACCGCGGCCGGGGTGACCTCCTCGTCGGCCGCAGGGTCGCCGCGACCCAGCCGGTCGCTCAACTACGATTCGGAACAGTCGGGCCGGCGGGCCCCTATGCCGCCCAAAAAACCGTTGCGGCTGTCGCTGCAGCAGCGACAAAGTAACAGCAGTGCCGCGGCCGGTAAAAACGACGTCGAAAACACCGCAACGACGGTCAACGACAACGGCGGCGACAACGACAATGTCGTCGTCAGACTTCGTCACGGACACAACCACCACAATCACCATCGTCGCCGCCGCAACGACGACGACGTCGACCTGTCGGCCATAAACAACACCATGTCGTGAAACCCTCCTCCACCTACTACACCTACCTATAAATTATTTTGTGTATATAAAGTTTTTTTTGTCTGTTTAATATTAAAGTTAATTTATTTTCCTAATATAATATGAAATTCGTTTGAACGTGTATGGGTTCTTTATGTTTACATTACACCTACTACAATATCGGTAGTTTCGAACTCTATGTGAAGGTGTAGGCGTGTAGCGGCCACAACTCATACCTTGGGTGTGTGGGTGCTATTGGTACCTACCTATTATTTAAAAGCTATTAATGGCTTATTTTCAATTTTGGCATTTATAAATTATAAGACAGCTGTATACCTAACTAGGAAATTTTTTGGTGGGGCGGCTGATATGGATATTTGCCAATAATATCAAGAAAATGATTTTCCTTTGGTAAGTTTAATATTATTGCCCCATTCTTTCAAATTATCTAAAGCAAGTGCATTTTTCAATTATTCTTCTTTAATAAGGACTAAGGTGATTGTCTTCTTCGTCTTCTATTTCCAGAGCAGTTTCAATTCGAACCTGCTAAACATAAACATAGCTAAATATTAAAAATTAATATAAATTTAATGATGTTAAATTATATTAAGTACATACTTACCTGAACAAATAATAAAAAGAGTCCCTAATTAACTCAAGAAGTATATGCTTTCAAAATAAGTCCCACAAATTAATTAATGGTAACATACCTATTATTATACAACTTGGTTTGATATACCTAAGTAACTTAGTATACTAAGTATAATAATTATTATTGTATTTAATTTTCATATTATGTCGTGCCTAACGTCTTCAGCTCCCTGTCAAACACATAACAGACTATCGCCGGCTGGCCTCACGTACACACGCTATTATCTGACTTTTTACGGCAATTTTTTTTGTATTATTTAAAATATGTTGTTGTGTTTGTAATTGTTTTATAATTATAATATAATATTTTTATAATATATAATTATATAGGCACCTAGTGTTAAAAACGTTCTCATTACCTATAACTTCTACTTAATTAATACGCTGCAGCAGCTCAAATAGCTGTCTAATCTAATTATTCACATTATAATATTTTTATATCATTGCCGATTATTTATTATTACATTAATATAACACAATATTATAGAGCCAAATCGCTATTGCATTTATCTTTTAATCGTTATTTACGTATTTTATTAATTGTTGGGTCAAAAATGTAAAAATTTAGAAATACTACCTACTTACATAATTGCAAGGTTCATCTTTGGACCGAATCCACCCTATATTTTAATTAATAATTTATTATTATTCTAATCCATAATTGCATATTATGCTGTGATTAATTTGTTTTTATTTAAATTACCAATATTGTTATACAGCAACTTATTTTATACTACCAGAAACTTCACACATGTAACACTATATACACAAATACACAATACACATCAAAACATAAACCCACTTACCCGTTTTATACCCACCACGCACTACAGTTTTGCTAAGGAACCTGTCCACTACCTTTAAACTACTATTATATTTATATTGTGAGGAGTCTTGTTGTCGGTTTGAACGGATGTCGATGAATAGAGGATACTGTTAGTAGTTGGTGTTTAATAGAAAAAGACATAGAAATAGGACTTGAGTATATTATGTGAATGTTTAATAAAATTAGAGAAATAATAATAATAACCACCAAATGGAGTTGGCGACGCTCAGGCGGGAGCTGGACGCTTGCCGGACCCGGGCCGAAGAAATGGACCGGTCCAAGCACGCGTACAAGACGGAAAACGTGAGGCTGTCGCACAGGGTGTCGTACTTGGAGGATCAGGTGTCGGAGCTGATCAAGTGCCGGTCGTCGTCAGCGGCCTCGAACGGTGGCGGAGGCGGCAGCGGCGTGGTGTTTCAGAGGGGCGCCAACTCGGCGGTGATGGTCCGGAGCAAGAGCCCCAAGCACGGCGTGTCGGCCATACAGCAGTACAAACGAAAACAGGTGGTGTACGACGATCGGCCCGCGGCGGTGAGGGCCCCGGAAGGGGGACCAGTGGTCAAGACCCGCATCCGGACAGTGCCCCGACTGTACGGCAGTTCGGCATCGGTCGAGTCTCTGGTGTCGTCGTCCGACGCCGTGGTGGCCGCCTGCAAATCGTTCGACGACCTGCACGGCGTGACCGAGGGGCACGGCAAACGAAACAAGTATCCGGCGGCTGGTGGCCGGAACAGCAGCAGGACTCGACACATACGAGAGGCCCAGCAGACGTTGTTCCGGTTCCTCGACTCCGAGTCGTCCGGCGGAGGTGGCACTGCCCCGTACTTGCTTCAGCAGTGCGGCGGTGGCAGTCTGAGGTCGCTCGACTTGCAGGACACGGCGGCCGCCGACTCACACCGGTTGAAGAGCACCGAATATTACTCGCACCTGACCGCGGCCGGGGTGACCTCCTCGTCGGCCGCAGGGTCGCCGCGACCCAGCCGGTCGCTCAACTACGATTCGGAACAGTCGGGCCGGCGGGCCCCTATGCCGCCCAAAAAACCGTTGCGGCTGTCGCTGCAGCAGCGACAAAGTAACAGCAGTGCCGCGGCCGGTAAAAACGACGTCGAAAACACCGCAACGACGGTCAACGACAACGGCGGCGACAACGACAATGTCGTCGTCAGACTTCGTCACGGACACAACCACCACAATCACCATCGTCGCCGCCGCAACGACGACGACGTCGACCTGTCGGCCATAAACAACACCATGTCGTGAAACCCTCCTCCACCTACTACACCTACCTATAAATTATTTTGTGTATATAAAGTTTTTTTTGTCTGTTTAATATTAAAGTTAATTTATTTTCCTAATATAATATGAAATTCGTTTGAACGTGTATGGGTTCTTTATGTTTACATTACACCTACTACAATATCGGTAGTTTCGAACTCTATGTGAAGGTGTAGGCGTGTAGCGGCCACAACTCATACCTTGGGTGTGTGGGTGCTATTGGTACCTACCTATTATTTAAAAGCTATTAATGGCTTATTTTCAATTTTGGCATTTATAAATTATAAGACAGCTGTATACCTAACTAGGAAATTTTTTGGTGGGGCGGCTGATATGGATATTTGCCAATAATATCAAGAAAATGATTTTCCTTTGGTAAGTTTAATATTATTGCCCCATTCTTTCAAATTATCTAAAGCAAGTGCATTTTTCAATTATTCTTCTTTAATAAGGACTAAGGTGATTGTCTTCTTCGTCTTCTATTTCCAGAGCAGTTTCAATTCGAACCTGCTAAACATAAACATAGCTAAATATTAAAAATTAATATAAATTTAATGATGTTAAATTATATTAAGTACATACTTACCTGAACAAATAATAAAAAGAGTCCCTAATTAACTCAAGAAGTATATGCTTTCAAAATAAGTCCCACAAATTAATTAATGGTAACATACCTATTATTATACAACTTGGTTTGATATACCTAAGTAACTTAGTATACTAAGTATAATAATTATTATTGTATTTAATTTTCATATTATGTCGTGCCTAACGTCTTCAGCTCCCTGTCAAACACATAACAGACTATCGCCGGCTGGCCTCACGTACACACGCTATTATCTGACTTTTTACGGCAATTTTTTTGTATTATTTAAAATATGTTGTTGTGTTTGTAATTGTTTTATAATTATAATATAATATTTTTATAATATATAATTATATAGGCACCTAGTGTTAAAAACGTTCTCATTACCTATAACTTCTACTTAATTAATACGCTGCAGCAGCTCAAATAGCTGTCTAATCTAATTATTCACATTATAATATTTTTATATCATTGCCGATTATTTATTATTACATTAATATAACACAATATTATAGAGCCAAATCGCTATTGCATTTATCTTTTAATCGTTATTTACGTATTTTATTAATTGTTGGGTCAAAAATGTAAAAATTTAGAAATACTACCTACTTACATGGCCAAATGTAAACTCCTACACGAATAACCTTTTTACCTGAATCATCATTAAATGTAAACTCCTACACTAATAACCTTTTAAAATTTTTACCTGAAAATCAAAGATATTGTAATCTCCTACTTAGAAATTTTTCCCTTTAAAAAATAATGTAATATTACTTAAATTCACAGTTTTAAAGTTAAAAAGCTCAAAATTATCATAACTTGAAAATAATAAATATGCATTATTTAATAAACAAATGCTTGAATAGAGCTTGTTTATACGCTGTATGATAATTCTCGAAGGTTAGATTATATCCATATTATATACTATTATAGTACTATACTATACGTTCATATCGGCACTTGCAGTACAAAAATTTTTAAATAGATCAGCGATATGGCATCGAATATTGTTGAATAACGATAAAACAAGTCATAAAAATATACGTAAATGATTATGAATTAGTATTGTTTTATTGAATTTTTTATTATTTTTTTTCAAAAATTTTTTTTTTAACGTATGTGATTTTGACAATTGTTTTATTATATTTTTCAAATAATTTTTGTTTTAGGATTAAAAATGATTATGACTATTATTTTATCAACATTTTTATTATCTATATTTTAAAAATTTTGTTTTAAACGTAAATGATAATGATTATTGTTTTATTAACATTTTTATTATATTTTTCAAACCATTTTTATTTTATGTGTTAATATATTGCAAGACTGATATTTTTTACAGCAATACGAGCGGTATTAATTTTTTGTAGGAGTTAACACTATCTTTTATAGGAGTTAACACTATCTTTTGTAGGAGTTAACACTATCTTTTGTAGGAGTTAACACTATCTTTTGTAGGAGATAACACTACATTTGTAGGAGTTTACCATTCCCCACTTACATAATTGCAAGGTTCATCTTTGGACCGAATCCACCCTATATTTTAATTAATAATTTATTATTATTCTAATCCATAATTGCATATTATGCTGTGATTAATTTGTTTTTATTTAAATTACCAATATTGTTATACAGCAACTTATTTTATACTACCAGAAACTTCACACATGTAACACTATATACACAAATACACAATACACATCAAAACATAAACCCACTTACCCGTTTTATACCCACCACGCACTACAGTTTTGCTAAGGAACCTGTCCACTACCTTTAAACTACTATTATATTTATATTGTGAGGAGTCTTGTTGTCGGTTTGAACGGATGTCGATGAATAGAGGATACTGTTAGTAGTTGGTGTTTAATAGAAAAAGACATAGAAATAGGACTTGAGTATATTATGTGAATGTTTAATAAAATTAGAGAAATAATAATAATAATAGTTATAATATACCTAGTTATAGTTATAGTTATAATTTAGTTATTTTTATAGGCATAGATATAGATATAGTATTAGGAGTTAGGACAGTGTTGAATTTAAAGAAATATCCAGCTATCTTCCTTTAAATAATTTAAAATTACTGTTATTATAATATCAATATACGTTTTATTAACTATTCCCAGTCCCATAACATGGTCGTTATAAATTCAGGGAGTAAAAACGGATAACCCTCCTTAAATTGTACCCATTCTCAAATCCCAAACCCAATTTTGACCCACTTTTATACCCTTTTCTCTTACTCGTAAATAATTGTACCCGATTTCGGACGCGAAATCCACAAACAATTGAACCCGGTTTTGAAAGCAAAACCCATAACCCGCGCGCAACTTAACCCGCCTGCGTGCACCCCATACCCTAAGCCGCTAACAATAAATTGTACCCGATTTCGGACGCGAAACCTGCAAACAATTTTACCCGGTTTTGAACGCAAAACCCATAACCCGAGCGCGATTTGGCCCATTTTTGTACACCATAAACGCCCTACCCTCAAATAATTGTACCCGGTTTCGGACGCAAAACCTGCAAACAATTTTACCCGGTTTTGAACGCAAAGCCCCTAACCAGAATTTTTTACCCAATTTTTTACCCGGTTTCTAATATACGAAACCCGAAACATTTTTACTCGTTTTGACTACCTGGACTTATATAATACCATGGGACAAATACAAATTCCCCCAACTCCTGTCGCGCCACTCTTGTCTCTTTCCATAAGTAAAACACTGCAGTCATCACTCAACAGCTTTCAACACGCTAGACGAGTAATTAATATTTTAGACCAAAATATAATATCGATTTGATTTCTGTAATTGTATACTATTATTGTTCGAACGATCTCAATATATTTTAGAATTCCTGGTTATTATAATTATTATATTATGATCAACATCGGAAAAAATCTATTTCCTGCTTGGTCCAACTTTCCAAACATTGAAACATTACACTATGTACCTACACACTACATAGTACACAACCTGTATTATAATATTATATATGTGGGTGGCCTATCTGTTATAGTAAAATACGTGAAAATGTTTATACATTATATTATATTATCATTATGAACAACAAATTTTGAAATCCAACGTCCGAACTCCGAATGTATGAATTTAAAGAGGACGAGTGAACACACAACCGATATACAAACCATAAACCATCAACCAATGTACCTATATTATAATTTATAATTTAGTATATATCCCGACCGTTCGAATAGTTCGAAGTCCAATAAGCATGACTGCAACAATATTCGCTCATTTTAGTGATTTTAGGTATTATCAAATATGATAAAATGTATTAAATAATATAATTTTGAGTCTTAAGAGGGTAGGTGGGTGGGTAAAATGTTTTCTTGCTACACCTGAAAAATATATCTTGGGCGCCACTGGTTATGTGTTTATAAAATTATAAGCACATAAAATGTATTTATTACTGATTATACATTAATGCATTATACATGTACAAACAATATACGTTTATGTAGTATACCTTCAGACCTAACTGTAGTCTGTAGTAGTGTAGTACCCTACAACTGTTGTACACACTACACCCACTCATCTAATAGGAGTATAGGATGTGTTTTTGAGTTAGGTGATATCAAATATGATATTGTGGATAGTAACAGTGATAACTCGCAAAATGTTGATCCAATAATTACATCTATACATTTGCGGACCAGTTTCGGATAGTTAAATTTGGCATGCGAACTATGAATGAAATAGAAAACCAGAATAAGTACATTGCTGATCACAACAATTTCTGTAAAAGTACGTACGATTTAACAAAGACCGATTAGGTACTGAGTATAGTATATAAGTTCTATGGATTTATCATAGTAAATAATATATTTTATCTATGGCTATCGTCAATTATTGTCGACATTCGTCGGCGACGATTAACAATTCTAATAATTTCAGTGAACAAAAAAATAATAAGCGATCAATATATACGGACAGTTTGTTAGCACAAATTCACACATTTCGTTATGGTCAGATTATTTTCATTAAATATTTCGATACTTTCAAGTTTCAGTTCTGAGCAAGATGATGATGGATGAAGATAGCCGTTTTTTCGGCGACGGCGGCACTCTAGCTAGATTTCACCGGAAGAGTCGATGTTTACGCGTAAGTTTGTTTTCATATTATTGCTATTTTAGTATTTTACATTTACTTTAAGACTTAAATTAAATATTTATTGCCCCGGACAATCTGTTAACTGGGTGACGTAGAAGCATTTAAAGGTTTAATCCTAAAAGCGCCATGTATAAAATACGCGAGACCGAACAGTCCAAAGTCCGTCTTCGTTTCACTACTCCAAGTTTAATAAGTGCCTTTTTGTATAGGTATACTATAAGCCGGGTATCACCTTAAGTTTTGCGTGAAGTATTTCAAACATTATAATGTTATCAATCTTTATATTTTATATACATAAATACATTATAAACCTCTTGTATAATATTAGCATACTCACAAATTTTTTAGTGTAGTTTATACCCTATATGGCTAGATATTAAATGTTTTGCAATTATATATTTTATTATAATTATTATTTTCCATTATCATATAGTACAACAATACACTTTAAATTAAATTAGTTGTTATCAAGACAGACAGTCTTAAGACAAACTCTTTTCTGGATGTTATCAAAACGGATTATGCTTAAAAAATTTCACAGTTGTCGTAGCAGTCAGTTCCTAGATCAAACCGTGAGACATTAAATAATTTTTTCGAAAAACATATGTTATATGTATGGCTCATACAATTAAGAATTTATAGTTAATAGAAATGCGGATGTTTATACTTCATAGATATTTTTTTATTGAAATCTTGTAAATAATTGAATTTAACAATCGCGGGTACAAATCACTATTCACTAGTATCAATTTTATTATATTATAGGTACGTGTAAAATCTCCGGAACAAAGTGCAGACTGCATTTTAAAAATTAAAAAAATATAAAATAATGTTGTAGTAGAAGCTGGAAACTGTAGTTTATTCTAATTTATAATCCAATAATTAATGTAACCGGGAATGTAACTATTAAATTCATCATTGAATGATTATTCAGAGATCACTTTGGGATAAATGCCAAACATATAAATGTAAATCAAATTGAGAATAATTAAAAAACATTTTGTGAAAGGAACAAGATTACTGCTAATATTTAAGTCTTAATTATTATTAACAAATAAATACAAATAATAGATGTTTCAATAGCTTTTTACCATCAACATTCAGTGTAAATAATTTCTGATTGATTTATATATATGTAAAAATCTTCTATAAAATAATTATTCGTATACAAAAATCCTAACAATTAAATGCAAGGATCTCATAAATTAATCTTACAACATCCTTTAAACATCAAAACTACATTTGTAAATCATTTATACACTATCTACACCTACCAAATAAAAATTGTACAACATTTTAGTTCCCTGTTATGGTGTAGGTACTAATGCAAACAATAAATTATTATTCGAAAACACAATTTCGTATACCTATTATTATTTACTAAATACCTACAACTAAACTAAAAATAAATATATGATTACATCCTGAGTGCCTATAATATAATATTATATATGAAAACTGATTCCTTATTATGAATACTTATCGTTCACACAGACCACAAGAAAAAATCATTTTAAAAATTTAAAAATTGAAGAACACATCGTTGTACAATTAATTCAGTCATCGATCCGCTCAGAATCTAAAATCTAAAATATATCCGATAAATGTAAAATTAACATACCTATATCATTATTATTATAATTTCTTATTCAGCAGTATTCGGAGATAATGATAGACTTGGAATTTTAGAATCTAGGTAGTTGGTGTTATCACAGAATAGATTAAATTCTGTTTAATCTATTCTGTGGTGTTATAGTCGATACTGTAAATTTGATGAATTTCCTGAGTATACCTTTATGTTACCTAAAATCCAATTATCACATTTTTATTTAATGATTCATAAAATACAATAAGCTTTTATAAAAATATACTTGTACTTCTGCAGATATCTATTCACCATCTTAATCAATAGTTAAATTAATAAACAAAAATAGTAATTTAAATAATACCCATATCAATATCATATTATTATAATTCAAATTCAAAAACATTAACTATTTTGATTTATTGTCATATCAAATTTCAATGAACAAATTGTTCCTTAACACGGAACTCTTTGATATGAAAAGTTGCATTATATTATATCCGTGGATTAATCATATTGCCGTTACCTAGTATAATATATAAGGTATCTATCATTTATATTCTATGGCAAATCTCATAGTCGTTGCAGACGACACAGTCGATTAAAAATTCTAAAATTTCAATAAGCAAAGCAGATATGAGTAAAAAACTTACTGCGTCCCGTATAATTTTATTTTTCATAAATCACAATATTTTAAGTTCTGTATTCTCTGAAGCGTTTCGTCATCGGCGTCACAGTTCTCACACTTTACGGATTCCGCCGAAAGAGTCGATAATTAAACTATTAAAGTAAGTTTTTTTTTTCATATTCTTTTGGGGCATAATTTTACTTTCATTTTTTCTAAAATATATGGTAAAAAATAAATCATATTTCGCTATAAAAAAATAATAAAACATAAAGTATTTTAAATTTGAGTGGAATAATTTTTTATGATCATAACCACATTGCCTACAGATTATTCAGCATTAGTACAGCAGTAGTTTATAGTCATTTTTGCCCAAAAAATTACATTTAAAAGTGTCATCGTGTATTCGTGTTTATAAATTATAATAATATACTCTGAGGGCCGTTCTTACAATGTCCGGTAAAGTGTCGGTTAACGCTAACCGACTAATAACAGATTTTATTACCTGCAGGATAATACGGGTTATGTGTAGGTTAAATTTAAA